AATCAGCGTTAGATTGTTTTAGAAGAGAACTGTATTTTCCTTTCTTGGACAAGATACAAAGTGAACTGAACAAACGCTTTTCTGAAACGGCGTGTGAAATGATTAGTCTTTCTGCAACCTTCCATCCACGAAATCTAACTGAAGAAAATGTCCCTAAAGTTGAGAAGATAGCTCAGTTTTATAAGCGTAGCAGTCATCGTGTTGGTCAACAATTCCTACTATTTTCAAAATCGAAGCAGTGTGATGATTGGAAGAATGCATACAAAAAACACAAGAACCAAGTAAAGGAAAGAAAAGAGAAAGGCCTCAATGAAAATTCTCCAGTTACACCTTGGGTCTGTTTGCCCTCATTGCTCGATGTTTTCAGCGATGATGACCTACACCATCTTTATCCCGACTTGTTCGAAGTCATTAAGATCGTGGCTACCTTGCCAGTAACAGTGGCATCATGTGAGCGCACACATAGCAAAGTAAAAATTATAAACAATTATTTGCGAGCTGCCATGTCACCTGAGAGACTTGAGGATCTAGTCCAGATAAGCTGTGAACGAGATGTGGCAGCAAATATAGAACTCAGCAAATTAGTGGAAATATTTAAGCTCGCAAAGCCTCGAAAGCTTCCACTGTAGACATGGATACGACTATGCACTTAAACTCTGTTCTTTAAATTGTTTATGAGATCATATTATTTACTCACATATAACGTGAATTCAATACAGTTTTAAAAGTTTTGTGAAAGTTTTAACTCTTTCTTGACTCTTTGTAGAAAGCTGGTCATCTTATTTTTAGGCTTAAGTGGCATAGGTTTTCAGAAAAAAAGACTTCCCAAAACGCAGGAAAACGCATTTAAGAGACTCTAGATTTCAAAATTTTCCGGGGGAGCAGGCCCCCGGACCCCCCTAGTTTTCTCCCGCCTTCGGCGGTCGAAAAGTCCCCCCCACGCTTGGGCGGCTGGCGCCGCCCCTGACTCGGCGGAGGATATGGCTGGATAATGTAGGTTCTTTGGGGATATTTTGTGGTTGGATAAACCATAAACCTTTCCGTGCAGGTTGTGTAAACAGTAAACTCTCAGACACATGATGGGTAATTCAATATATATATTGCTGTCAGCTTTAAGAATTAAGATTTTTATTGGCCAGACATCTCACTAACTATATAGTTAAAAGATAATCACCTTTTCAACCGGCCTCCGTGGTTGAGAAACTATAGATTTACCGGCACATAGCCTGAAATCTTAGCGATAGCCCGGTTTCCGCACTTCACCAGCACAGCGATGCCCCCGTTAAATTCTGTATTGCATTCTGCCTTTTGCATGGTTATTTTCACGGCAGAAAAACATAATCAAAGGGAAAAGAGACCCTCGTTCAATGATTTCTCATATCGTGGCTATATATAGGATATTTGTGGCTATATTAGGAGGTATATAATATACAGTTATTAAACACTGTCAAGTCCGTCTCAATTTTAGTTCGCAAGTTACAGCAAAAGCCTTAACTTAAGATAACTTACAGGTTACAAACATGGCCGTAAGTCCTTAGTGCCTTAGTACGTGCGACAGAGCATCAGAGCATGCTCGAGAATCCATGCCAAAACAGAAAATTGAATCATTAGACATATTTGATATTTCAATATCGGCATTGAAACGTTTACACTCGTTTATCTCATCGTGATTGTTCGCCGGCAGTCCTGAACAACTGCTCTTCAGATCGCCATTGTTGTTGCACGCATCAATGAAAATCCAGCACAGTTTGAGACTTGTAAATAGCTGTGTGAGAGCAACGCTCTGTTTTTAATCGTATGAGCACCTCAAATGTCGTTGTTTCGACGCAGATGGCTTGTCATTGACCTGACACTTTATAATGTGTCATCTTGCTACCATGTTTGGGCCGATACAACTCGAAGTAATCCTCGAGAAATGAGAAATATGGCAACGTCACGCGCTTGGAATGAATTAATTATAGCCCGTTGTAATTGGATATCGATTAGATATTATAATGCTGTGTGTTTGCATATACGCATGTTTGACGTTTTAGAGCTGTTGTGTCTTGACAGTTGAGGTTCGTTCAGACAAAGACGGTATAGTCTGTTCGCGACTTCTGTGCTCTACGAAAACGTTAGCAATCCACGAAGTGCAAAATCGTTTAGAGCATGGCTAAGGCAAGCATTTTACGTGAGCAACGTCGCGAGATGACGGACACTTTTACCGCAATTCGAGAGAAAATTGCGAACGCCCAAGTTGCCATTCGCAACTTAAACATGAAAGCTAAAGATCTGGAAGAGCAGAAAGTCGATGCTGACGAGCGTGGTGGAGCGGCTCGGGCGAAAATTATTGATCTGAGGAATATGATCGCGGATCGAGAGCGGGATTTGGCCGACGCAGAGAGCAAAATTCCGCTTGCTAAATCGAAGATGCACGAATTGGAAAGCATGCACGGAGAAAATATACACTTTGAGAAGGTCTTGGAACGGACACGGAGAGAAGTAACGGAACTCGAGAAACGCAAGAACGAGGTTCACGCGCTGGCGAAGGAAAAGACCGAAGATTGCTGGCAGGCAAAGCAAAAGCTGCATAAACTTGAGGTGCGCATCGAAGACGTGGACAAGCGAATTGAATTTAGCATGCGACGTATAATCGTTGCCCAAGAGAAAATCGCGGCGGTCGAAGCGCAAAGCAATACCGTTAGCAAGAACTATAAAGAGCTCAGCAAGAACGAGATGGAGAACCAGTTTTATGAAAAGCAATTGATGGTGAGCCAAGCGAAGGAGAGACGCAAAAGGGCCGAAGAAATGGCGATGAAGTTATCCTGGCAGTCAGAGGAACTCGAAAAGCAAGTAGCAGATTATCAATCTAAAATGAAGGAAATGTTTAGCGGACAACGGGAATTGGCATCGTCCAAACTGCTTTAGGTTTTTAAATGATATACTATTCACCGTGCATGAGGGGATTGGGGGGCTCATAAACAGACCAATGTAAGGAACACATGTCTCGTACTGTGCCTTAATAGCGGAAATTGACTTTATGAACAAAACAGCAGGAATGTTATATAGATAGTTTGGATATATTTGTTATAATGTACACAATTGTTACTAGAAATACAGAAATTTATTTTCTTTCACGTGTATTTGTTAATGACATGGTTATAGGTGGTAATTTTCGTACGGGTCCCCGTTTCCTTGCGAGCATAACTCTGTGCGGTATTTAAATCCGTGTGCTAATGTAAATAGTTTGATTACTCTGTCGTTATGTCGAAGCCGGATCTATATCCAAATCTAATATCTGTTTTCAAGAAACGCTGCTTATTGACAGTAGTCTGCGCTGATATTCTTATGACTATATTTAATGAGGTTAATCGTTGAGTTATCTCAGCCAGGAATAATTTTCCAAGAGATGCGACGCGCGAGCGATAATTTCAACAACAGTCATTGTCATTTCGGCTTCGAGCCAAATTATCGCACGAGTATACCCGATGATGGCCCGAAGTGAAATGAACAAAGTTTAAAATCCGTGTTTTCCACTTTAATTGGGCGATAAAACTTCGTTTTCATTCAAAATGCAGTCCATGCAGGAAAAGTCGAGTTTTCCTCGATAAAAAGACTCATCATTCTGTATAAAGATATAAATTTATTTATTTTTTCGATATTCCGGTTTTCAGTCAATCCGGGTTTTAAGATTCCAGTTTTTAGTAGACCGTTTAATCAACGTTTCATCCGGAAATGCAGATACCCAGTCGATGAGAGACTGCATGAATAACATCATCCATGCATTCTCCGCCGTGGAAGCTGGGGAGAACCAACATGAGCGTTCGCTAATAATTTCGTTAGCCCTGAATTGCCGATATTTGCTTTCGCAAAATGTGAAGTGACGTTATTTTGTCGGTTAGCTTGTCGGATTTCCTGCAATCTATTGGCTGCAGCACCGGGTGGCTTTTTATGATATCTTGACCGTGGTACAAAAGTGTTATTTTTGCTTTCAAAAAGTGCTATTTAAATTTTAAAATTGATTTAAAAGCCATCTAAATTGTTCCTGGAGAAAGTCTGACTCGTCCCGGCCGAAGAGTTAAACGTTCACCTTTGTCGTTTCATCATACCTAGTCCATAATAAAAATCATTCAAACGAGCTGACCATGAAGTGATTTGTTTTTTAAGAGAAGATATTTTTCTATGTCGCGAAATATATGCTCAAAACCTCAGTTATATCTTCATGCAGCAGCACTAAAATTTTCAACATTCAAAATGTTTTGCAAACCTGAAAAGCATCTACAAACTATGTTTAGTGACCGGTCAAAACCCGATCATTTTTGACCGAGGTAAAATGAAGTTGCGCGGTCACTTTGACCATGCGGAGCGAGGTATCTCAGCCGTTATTTGAAGCCCAGCGAACGCGGTAAAGCAATTAAATCAGCACATATCAGCGTTACAATGTAGCTTTATTTTTAACCCTATAATCATGCATTCCACACTATTCCTAAATTTCTGTGCAACGTTTCTATTACATGATCCTTTACGGATAACAAGATTTCCCTCATTTTCTTTTAACTAATTTCTACTTTCGACAGTCTAATTCATGTTCTACGCTAAATGAACAAAAATATTGTGCAAAAAAATTACTTGTTCGTTATGTTCCAAAATTCCTGAGCAACGTGTCTATTACATGATCCTTTAGATAACAAGATTTCCCTCATTTTCTAATTTCTACTTTCGACAGTCTAATTCATGTTCTACGCTAAATGAACAAAAATATTGTGCAAAAAAATTACTTGTTCGTTATGTTCCTAAATTCCTGAGCAACGTGTCTATTACATGATCCTTTAGATAACAAGATTTCCCACATTTTCTAATTTCTACTTTCTAATTACTACTCATTTCCCTCATTTTCTAATTACTACTAATTTCATTTCTACTACGCTAAATGAACAAAAATATATCGTGCAAAAAAATTACTTGTTCGTTATGAACTGTTGAAAAATTACTTGTTCGGTTATAAATTGTGCTACGATATCTCATACACCTGGTTCGCCACACCTTGTGCAAGCTTCATCCAAACATCTTGTGAACGGTGGGCACTGTGGTGGAGCACTACCTCTGGAACACTTTACGATCTGAGGTTTCCACACCATCCAATGTTGGTCAACGCTTTTCCTCGTTTTCATTTGAAGCTGCCACATGCACCCTCCGGTGAACTCCTGATTGTTGCCATAATTTTCACAAGTGAATGAGATCTCCTGGGTCTGTTCTTGGCTCTCGGTCCACTCCCTTGCCATGGAATGCGACACGGTCGTCGTGACAGACGCCCCACCAAACTTAAAACCGGCCTCGATGGTGGCACTCACCTCGACTGACGTTTCTTCACTGATCGTCGACGAATAGCTTATGGTGTTGCTTATTGTTTGAGTGACTTGCCCGTTCTCGTTACAGCCTACCAGAGACCATGATGCAGTTGGGATAACCCAATTTCCGGTGACCCATCGGAAGCGTTGATCTTGTTCTAAAGTACATCTATACGTGCCAACATTTGCATTCACTGCGGCTGAAGTATCGGCAACGTCCAAGCATTCTTCCGACTTTCTGTTCAGAAAGGAGCAGTACTCTCCATGGCAGAATTGTCTAGGACTATGCCACATTTGATCCCTGAGATCCTCACACGCATACATATTAACATTGCCAGATCCACTGTAGTCGCTGACGTCTAGACACATTCTGGACTTATCATTAACCACTTCGCCATTTTCGTATTGGCTAAAGTACTGATCAGCAGAGTTCTCGCAGTGGTATATTCGAACATTGTCCGTTAAACTTGGCTTTGAGCCGCTATCCACATCGAGGCATTTACGAGATTTCTCAACTTGCAGCCGGCCATGATTCAGCACCATTCCTCGCGAGCGGAAATAAAAGTATTGGTCTTCTGTGTTCTCGCAATGGTATGTTCCAATGTTACCGTGCCCGTCGTAATTTTCGACGTCCAAACACCTTCCGGATTTCATGTTAATCATTTCTCTTGCTTTCTGTTGAATTCCGGCATTGTCGGTGAAGGTTCTTGTTCTGCCATATCTTCACTTCTGGTAGTTAGGAATTCTCGGGAACACTTGGCACGTGCTCGAATGAACATTTCCATCACCATTTACCCCGGCTGTAAAACAGTTATATGGGGCTTTCGTGTTACGCAACGTACCATCGCTGCACGCAGAAATTTTTTTTGGGATCACTTTCGTTGGGAGCTTTGTAACCGCGCCTGTTGTTATGCAATAACAATATTAAGATGAACTTAACCCGAACAACCGTCATTGCGCATTCATTCACCCCCCCCCTAGCTACGGCCCTGTACACAACATTTCAAAGAGCGAACACAGAGGAACTTTGTTAGGTAAGATGTTTGAGAATCAAAAATGTCGTTTATATAATATATTTTTCCTATTATTTTCTATATTTATTCACATGGCATATGTGCCATTATGTGGACGTTTTGATCATGTTGACATCTAAATTTATAATTATAATTATACCAAGTGTCATAATTAAGAATAAAAAATGCATGAACTACAAAATCGAAGTAATAATAAGCACTAGATAAATAAATTTTGTAGCAAATGAATCGAAATGTTGACCAATATTGTAATTTTTGTACCAATGTTGAGCATTTAATGTACACAAGTATTATTATACACCCACTCCATCACTTTGACAAGTTTACAACATTTACACAAGCATACTTTAGAAAAATCTGGGCTGTAGAAAGTGTTTAACTTTTTACTTAACCCATATACTTTAACATATGGAACATATAACAATGCAATGAATCTGTTGGTCATTGAACAATTATTGCAGAATGCCTAACTGATGAATCATGTCAAAATAGGGCCAGCTGTATAAAAGACTAGTTAATTTTTACCTGTAGTTAAGGACAAAATTCATGATTTAAATAATTTTGCAGTTTATGATCACATATATTGAGTGCAGACAAGGATTTCTCCCATTAATTCTTTATTTTTTGTTGTTATATCCCTCTTTTGACAATTTGACTGTTCTACTTATTCCCCTTCCCCTTTATAAGTCCTAAATTAAAATGCCTCAGTGAGATTTTAATTTTCTATTATTAACTCTTTAACATTAATTTGGATGCCAAAAAAGTGGGAGGGGGGGGGGGGGCTAAAGCCTTAGTCCATGATACTACAACAATTATAGTAATCTTTATTGAGGAAACGTTGTTATCAACTCTCCTGACAAAGGTTCTTAGGTCCACCAGAGAGAAACATTTTCTAGTTCAGGCAGTTTGGGAATTTCATGAGATGCGGCAAAGGAATTGTTCAGAAGTAGTTAGTCTCTTCCAACAGCAGCAAAAACAAGCATATTGTTTAACATAGGCTATTCTGTTCAGTTAGTGTAGTTCATATTAATTAATATTCTTGACATTAGTTAATACTCTTTAGTTAATAACTTGATTGTTACTGCTCATTATCGTTTTGGTCCAGCATTTGCAAGGTTTTTCTTTACATTCAGACTTAAGTTATGTTGACGTTTCTTTTTGGCCAGTTTCCTTATTTTCAGCTTTTCCTTATCATCTGCTTGCCACTTTCTTTTCAACACCGTTTGCAGCCTAGGTTTAGGACCTGAAGGTTGTGCAGAAGATGACTTCACACCAGATTTTCTTCGAGAGATTGACGTTGGCTGAACACGTATCCGTGACCCGTTGTGCAAGACTGGAATAAGATTGCTGCTTTGTTGCTTTCCGAAATGTACAAAAGCATTTGCAAGTGATGCTACAGGCGAATGACCGCGGCATTTTGTTACTATTTTTCGATAAGTCCTTAGAAAATTGTAGTAACATTTCTTAAAGTTAATATCCTCGTTTCGTATTTTCAACTCGATGTCTGCTGCAACTTCCCGATGCAGTTTAAGAATTTTCTCGAGGGCTACAGGTTCGTCCTCTGTATGGCCTAGGACGGTGTCATGCCTATGTTGATCGTCCTCCTTATCTTTTTCCTTGTTTTCTAGGGGCACTGTTTCAATTCTATTTACATCATTCTCCAGGTTCATAACGCTTTCAGATTTTTCATGCAGCTGAACAAACTGTCTTACGTCGAGTTGGGGATTATCTCCTATTGCTAAAACAGCAAGATCGTATCGATCCTGAGCGGATCGTGGGATAAAGTTGCTGTTACCACCTCCGTATTTTAAAGCAACCGCAGCTTGATGTGCACATCCTGAGCCATTTTCTCCACGTGGGCAGGTACAAATCCCTAAACTGGTATTAACTTGGTAGGTAAGGTCCTTGTTCTTTCTGCTTTTAACATTAAAATGAAAAGGTTTTTCAGTGTCTCTGATGATACTGTCAAGCGGCACTGTACTCGCATTTCTTCCAAAGCATCGCGCAGTAACATGAAGATTTTGTGGCTTACCAAACGCAAGAGCTAACAGTTTCCTTTGAAAATACATCTCCAAATCCTCAGTTATAAATTTCACTAACTCTAATAAGTTATACGCTCTGATACGCTTTAAGATGACACATTTAAAAACGAAAATCATAGATTCTGTAAAGTTGTCAGTGTTATTTCCTCTTGTCAGGAGTCCTCTGCGAAAACAAAGTGCCCATTGCTCTTTTCTTTCTATAGCATTTTTAATGTAGTTATTGAAATTTGGATACTTTAACACCGTTTTGTCTGACTGCATCTTGGTTTCATTGGCATTAAAATTTTCTACCGTGTCCGCGAATACCAGTCCTTGGCAAATGGACATTAAGTGCTGCCGATCATTTTATTAATGGAATTAGTACTGTCTAAAAGCCATCTCCAAACAGCTTGAAGAAAGTGAAATATACAGAGGAGAAGAACAGATGAATGCCAATATGCACGCAAAGCATTTCTCTGGGCACTGTCATCATCGGTGAGGAAAATTGAAGGACCAGACGCTACGCCCTTTCCACCAAATGCGTGTCGCGGTAGCACTGATACAACGCTGTGTAAACAACTATTCAAAGTGGATTCTGATTGGCTGGAAGTTATCCACACTGCTAAGGGAAGGGCACCTGACGGATGATGAGTACACATAAAATAAACTGGATTATTGTGTCGATCAAGGCTCCCGGATGCATCCATAAAAGCCATTTCACCAGCCTGGCGTAACTTGTGTACACGTGACATCATTGGAGTACATATGGAAATTATCAACGGTTGCTCACGCTTTTCGTCATTGTTATATCTTTGTAGAAAGATTTTGCCACCATCACTCACTTTATCCTTATTGTATGTCGTAATATACTCTTGCAGATAGTCGAACAATTCGGTTCCATTACATGGTCCTTTTGTTGTTTTCCTCCACTTCTCGTAGAGATTATTAACGTCTCTCAACGACGGGCAGTATTTTCTATCTGCCAAGAGAAGAACAGTAACAGGATCTCTCATCAACGTTGTTTCGTGGTGATGGAACGACTCAGACGCAGACATGCCCTGCTCAAAATAAGTAAGAAATTTGTGCCTTGTCGCAGGTAAGATTTGGCTAAAAGTGGTAAGGTGGTGACAGTTGACGCTATGGTTATGATTCCACCATAATTCCACATCACAGACAATTTCTTCAACTGCTTTCGTACGCACTTTTATTACCATTTTGCTTTCACAATCTGTTTTTTTATCGCGTATGTTAGATAGTAAATGGATCTTGTCAGTGGTTTCAGCATTAGCAGCATGAGTGCAATGACGCTCCTGTCTACGTTTCATAGCTTCGGCTTTCGCTTCTTTTTGGTTCCTGCTCAATGTCTTTCTTTTGCACTCGCAAATATACCACTGGGCAAACGAAACTCTGACACCTTTCCTCTTATAACCCCCTTGAGAATTGTATTTGATGTTTGACGATGCTGCAAATTGAGAAACCCATTTTTCGATTTCCTTTGGTGTTGACACATCTTTAATGTTAAATTTTACCCTATATTTCTTAGATTCCATAGTATCGTCGTTCGAAAGTTCTTCATATTCTAAGCATTTATAAACAGCTGTTGGTGGGAGTATGCTTTGTACATGCTGGGGTAATACATAAGCATTCGTTCTTTCAGGTATATCATCTGGTATATTATCCGGCGTAGCAAGCGAGTAGCAATGATCTTGAAGGATTGTATGACTGTTTTCAGTTGGTGATGATTTGAAAGGATCTGCATCACTGTTCGCTGTTTGTTCGCAACTATTGCTACCTTTGCTGCTGGCAAGTGGAATCGACAAACACGAAAGTTTGTTTCCTGCTATGTCCAATATTAACGAGTAACGGAAATCATTTATGTGTCGTTGCTTAAAATCGATCATCCTACCTTCAGCTATATGCTGTGCCCATTTTACCACAAACACGCCACAATCGACTGAGTTCAACTGTTGTTCAACGTCGTTCGCTGGGATTGCAAAAAAATCCCACTCGTCAACACTATACTTTTGTCCTTGTAATTTCATGGCACATTCAATGAAATTGCCTACGCGTTGGAATGCCCTTTTTGCCCCAATTCCTTGAAAAAGTGAATCCAAATAAACCATTCTTTTTATTGCTGGGTATACGGCAACTAAACACCAGTGATCTGCGTGTAATGAAGGACAGAGTATTACTTCACTATCTAAAATATGAGGGTATAGTTGATCATACTTGCATTTTAAAAATATGTCAAGTGAAGGTTCTGTCATACGTTGGAGAACTTCCATGTTGCAGGTGTGGACTTGTTTTCCCTGCTTAACTGCTTCTTCTTCGATCATCAGAAAAATCTTGTTTACCAAAAAGTTAGATAACAGGGAATCAGAAATCTTGTGTGATGCAGGAAGTAGGCGAATGATGTCTGTCGGATCCCATTCTTTTACTCTGTCACTAACGCTAATGTGTACGCCTGCAATTGCTGTCTCTTGTGCGCGTTTTCTCTCCTCTCCAGTTAGGGATAAATACATGTTCGAATGCACGACATTCCCCTCTATCCTGGTTTTGAATAAACCTGGTTTGGCGCTTTGAAAACCTATCGGTACGTAGTAATCGGGTGGTACCGTTACTTTTATTGTGATATCTTGTTGCTCTTTGTCAGGTGCTGAACTGGTCGGCAATTTTGTGATTTTAGTAATTATTATGTCGTTGGTCGAATTCTCGTCACATCCATGCATCTTTATTGGAGGTGATGAAGGATTAGGAGTTGTCGATATCTTATTTTCGGGAGCTGGGCCCATGGAGTTCGTTTCAGAGCTTGAGACTGCGTTTTTTTCAGCTGTTGACTCTTGTTCAGGTGTTAACGATGACATAGAACTGTTAGAATTAGAAGTGATTGTGGGTGATAAAGGGTGAGGTGAATCTTCTTTTGTGAACTCTTTAGTTTTTGCAGCGTCTGTCACGGGACCAACAGATGTTGACATAGAGAGATTTGTATCTCTACAAGGTACCTTTGAAAGAGTGGCCTTGCGTTTCTTGGATAATGACAAACAGTGCATTTTAGCACGAGAGTTGTTGGAAGAACCCCTTGCAACTGCTTTCGCATAAGTGTTAATATTCAAAACAGGTTCTTTATTCGTTGTAGGCACTGGTGCTTCTTTTGTAAACACCTTTGCCCTAGTGTGGGCTTGTCGCTCCTTTTTCTCGTAAAAGAGCATGTATGCATTCTTCTGGTGATATGCTGCTAACTGTGATGTTTCTTTAACAACGGTATCACTTGTATAAAACCATCTCCCGCTCCTGTTAACGAAGCAAACATAATGCCCGGACGATATTTGGTTTCCTTCATGTGCTATTATTGAAGAAAGGGTGTATTCTGCTCTCGATGTTTCACTTCTGCCATCATTTAAATCGCGTTGATACTCGGGTATGGTTAGTTCAGGTGGGTAATCTATTTCCAAGCTTATTTTTTGACCGTTTGCGTCAAAGCGCAATAACTGAATGCATAATACCTGTGGCAGATTCTGCACTAAGGTTCTTTTCCAGGCATCAGTTCCTTTACCACACCTTAAAAATAGCCAAAAAGTGCATGGGGTACAAATTTATGTGCTAGTATTTTAACACTGTACACTCAAAAAATTACATAAAATAATGTTTTAACACTAAAAAATGAGGTGAGAGTGACAGTAACATTTGAGATGTCTCAATGGAGTGCATAATAACTGTAATTGTACCTGCTTACCCTTACGAAAATATTCTATAGAATATTCTATTGAAATATTCTATAGAATATCCTATAGAATATTCTAAAAGATTTTGGCACTAATTCTATAGAATATTCTATAGGATATTCTATGGCACATTCAATAGAAGATCCTATAGAAGATTCTATAGAAGATGCTATAGCAGATGCTATAGAAGATTCTATAGAAGATCCTATAGAAGATTCTATAGAAGATGCTATAGAAGATGCTATAGAAGATGCTATAGAATGCTATAGGATATGCTACATACAGTAGCATATTCTACAGAACATGCAATTGCAATATTACACAATTAAGAAGTGATATTCACTCTTCTGTGCAATATTATCAATATATTATGTCTAGCCATGAAAAAACATCAATGATGAAAATCACTTCAAGAATAAAAAGATATATATTAGAAATATTGGTATATATGTATCAGTACATCAAAAGTTGTGCAATATTGAATACTTTTGTTTGTAATGTATTTTAGTAATATTAATTATTGTCTATTATTCTATATGTTGGATATTTTTAAAGTGTTTGTCTGACCAGTAGCTCAGTTCATTATTTTTCGCAGGACTTCTTTTTAGCATTATCTTAGCATTACTTGTCACACTTCAGATGCAGGACAACCATATCTTTTTGAAGTATACTCTACATTAAGGAATATGATTGAAAAATTATTTAAAAATGCAGGACTTGTCTTACCATGCTGTGAGTGATGAAATAGTATACAATATATATTTAGCTAACTGAAATAAGTTATCAGCTTACCACATATGCCATTGACTTTTTCCTTGTCAAGTTGTGGCTTGGCATCCTTCTCCTTTATTGCATTGGAGATCTTTCCTGTCATGGAGTGTGTGGACAGAACCTCCCGGCTCCACAATATACCCATAATATTGAGTACACAAAATCCTTTAAATTAATTGCCTTTTCCTTTTAAAACCTTCTGTTGAGTCTTTGTTATTGAGACACTGGGACATAAGGGCACCTACAAATATTATACCATTTTGACCTTTGGTTTATAGTATGATGTTTGGACATAAGCAAATTTGCAAATTTAATAGTAAATGCAAAATTAAACACTTGAGACATTATATTCACTCTTAGAATGATATATTAAAAATTAAGTATTCTATTAAATATAAAGGGTATAGAGAATATTTGTTAATTGCCTGCACAAGCATATAGGCTATAGCATATAACTACAAACACACTCACCACTTAATTCCAATACTTTAGCTTCACATGTTATTGTTGAAATTGTAGATGGGTCAATGGAACCTTTCAGAAATTTTCTGATGGCCTTGACACAATTTCTTTCTCACGATCCTAGTCTATAGTCATGTACCATTCACAAAATTATCCGAATCTTCTGATTCTTCTCACATAATCCAGCGAGTTTGACCAACCTTCTATACTCCTCATCGACAAATTCAAGTACTGCGTATTTTATGTTCAAATACGAAAGAAAAACTCGCTAAATTCTACCAGTATCAGTTATAAAACGTTGAACGAATGACAAAGACGCGCTCACAATTTGAAAATAATGCGTTATGACTTAATAGACTTATGCGTGTCAGTTACACAAGTCCCACATAACTTTGCGGCCTTGTTTGGGCAAAACGCCCGCCATCTAACCTGCGAACAGGCATATTATGAAACAGATATGTCTAAAATACTTGTAATTTGTCCTTACAAAACGAATGATTTTTGCGGAAAATTTTAACATTAAGATTTAAAAAGTATGTCGAGAGGACCTCACACAAAATACGAATATGATGCTATTCAACTTTTGTGTTTCTAGACAGATGAAAACACATTTCTCGACCAATATCAATCGTGTACTAAAATTGCTATATTTTAAATTGCCTTAATTATTACATAAAGTCACATTCTGTATAACATTTTATAGATTATTGTGTACAGCATGTTCTATAGAATATATCAATCGATATTTAATGTGAATTTATGTACAATCGAATATTCTATAGGATCTGTAAATTCTATAGAATATGGCAATGGAATATGCTATAGGATAAGAAGTCCTATAGAATATTCTATAGGATCTGTAAATTCTATAGAATATGGCAATGGAATATTCTATAGGATAAGAAGTCCTATAGAATATTCTATAGGATTTAGAATATGCTATAGCATATTCTATAGGATTCTATAGAACATTTTCGTAAGGGTAATACTGGTGGCATCACAATAATCACTAACTGTACCTTTCACAGTTGTAGAGCTGTTCCAATTGAATTGCTGCAGAATATTGATCCAACAAATCTTGTAAAGGTAATCCCTGGTATATTATGGTTAAAAGAACAAATGAGTTTCCAGTTTTTGAATTTTGTTCAAACAAGATTTGTTTGGTTTGCAACTGCCAGTAAACATGTGCATAAAATCATATTTTCCATTTTCCCTGTATTTTAATACCTAACCAAAAATATGACAAGGTGGTAAGCATTTAGAGTATAAGCAAGGAAAATTTAAATAAATTGTTCTCTTTTTAATAAAAAAAAGTAGACTGTAGAATTTATCAAGGTATACCCATTAGAATGATTTTTAATTTAACATTAAGGGAAAATGTACTAAACTATTTTTGTTACTTCTTAACACCACCATCTTGTGACAATGACTTTCTATCTCTTTGGGTATTACCTTTGTTATAGATAATGGAAGCACTGTCTCAGTGGCAATGTTACTTGTAGTATTGCCACACTCGCTGCATAGAATCTCACTATTAAGTGAGAAGCAAAATGAATTCAGAAATTCAAGGCTACAATATTGTGGAATAAGTTCTGTTGATTGCAGATGATGAGCTTTTTCCTCCAAAATTGTCCAAAATGATTGGAAAAATTCAGCTGAACATTGCTGGGAACCTTTGACATAACCGCTCATAATTTGTGGCAAACAAGAAAGCAGTGCTGCTGGTCGAACCACCTGTGATGCTCCATTATACAATTTGAACACACTCAGTGTACTGCATAATATGCATTTTGTTCCTGAATATAAAATGAATACCAGATATCATTAAAAAATATTACTATTACTATGTATTTTTATCACCACAAACCTAATGTAGATATTTGTACCAGTACTTTAGTTCATCATCACTTTCATTGTAATTATTGGTTCAATCTTCTCTGGTTGTGTTAAATATAGTGGAGCTTTTGCCACTTTCATCACCAGAAAAGAATTCGTAATTCTTTCAATTTTTTTATATCAAACTGTTGGAAAGTGGGGATTTTACCACAAATCATCAGTCTCATTTAACCCCCTCCCAAATTATTGCTGTAGTGCTTGCTATGCACCTGCCCTAAGTGTGGGGTGTCACACCCACCCCTCCACCCATATGTCTGTCCTATGCATACCACTTTGAAAATCTACTACATGGAGTTATAGAATTGTCATATATAAATATTTCAATGCAATACGGTAAATAATGGAAGGCACCAAAATTTATACTTTCCACAATATGAAGTCCAAACGACCCTCCCACAGGGAAATATATTATGTCGCTTTATGCGAAATTACATGGAAAATTACACACATGGGAAATTACACACATATTCAACAAGGGAAACCAATTTCACATATTCAACAAGGGAAACCAATTTCCATAAGGCATAACCACGATTAAAAAACGTTTACCTTCTTTGTTCGCCGTGCATCTTTTCCTGTTGTGCAGAAGTTGACCAAGGCCTTCATTGCAACTCTTTGTTGAGAGAATAGACTGCAATACGCAGTTTACGAAGCATGTATTTCCTGAGTTTACGAAGCCTTTTAATGCGTAACCTGACATCATGATGAAGTTTGATTAAATTTGATTGGTAAATAGCTGAATTTGAATGAATACGTACAATTTCTCCGGTTGAAGATATAGTTTATATTATAAGTATACCACGCTCTATTATTATTTGGTGCGGGAAAATTTCAATATTTCCCGCTAAATGCTAATTAACCGTATTAATGACTTTTCAGGAACATTAATATGCAGTACTTAAATAACCCAAATTGACCCTTTATATCCAAACATGTATTTTGGATAAGGCGCGGTTACAAAGCTCCCAACGAAAGTGATCCCAAAAAAAATTTCTGCTCGCTGCACCAGATGATTTGTTGGTCGTCAAATCCATCACATAGGTAGGTGTGAACATTTCCTCCGCCGGAAAGGTTATCTATGTCAACACATCGCCTCGACTTCATTACGCGGAATTCGCCGATTACTATTGGATCCACACATACCAACTGAGCTGCCGTTGTTGTAAAAGTGGCAATGGCAATACCAACAAAGAGAATGCTTCCTGTGTAAGTATTTCTCGACATCTCAACTTGCTCTGTTTCAAATTCACCCTAAAATTAAAAAAATTCCTTAAATTCCTTGAAGTAGAAACGTGGACACAAAAGGAGTGTTTTGATTCTAAGATTTGGCCCGGCAAATTTCAAGTGCGCCGGACGATGGGAGAACAGGGACCACTGATGCAGAATTCTCGGTCCTCTCTGTAAAGACACATCTTCTGCTTTTCTCGAGGTTCGTTGGTTGTATGCATTTCTATCGTTGTCTCGAGCAGACTTGCAACGAATTGCAATACAATTGTTTACATTGAGAATGCATGAACCACAAGCAAGACCTTTCAAGGGCAACTTTTGGTCCTTGAATGTGAATGAATAATTAATGAGCAGGAAAACCACTAACAAAGACACATTTGATCACGAGATCGCATTTGGATATCTCGATGAAAAACCTCGCCAATAGTTGTACAATGCATTTATCGCATATATAATTACGAAATGTGATCAAAATCACTGGTGATTTTCATAGGACTACGAAGTTGTGTGTTTACTATAAGAGTACGAAGTTGTGTGTTTTGAAATATGACCCACGCTAACTCTGACAAATCCACGAGGCATCTAATACGTTAAGCGGAAACTAGTATGCCTTTCCTGGGCATTGTGATGAACCCCAAAATGAGCCGAAAAAATCAAAATTTCGATCAGTGAATTTGAAAATTTTTTTCTTAAAATTTCTCAATCTGGACTTAGGTTTCTGTCCTTCCAGGCAACTGCCAATGAATAGAAATTTGAAATCCATATACCCTCTCGTATATGCTTTTGATCATTACTGAGCCAAGCGTCACATTTGAGTTATTTTGAGTATAGATATTAAGCAGCGGAATTCTAACTGAGTATTAAGTTTTGATAAAAGTCTTGTAGGTCAGTGTTAATACGCTTGGAAGAATATTAAAATTTCTCACAGTTTACGGATGACGCGTGTGCGAGTTTCTTTCGGCACGGGGTTGACGAAAAATTAATTCGAGAGAGCTTCCGCAGCTGACATTTTTAAATTATATTTTGAATGCCCAGAAGTGGAAGTGGAGTTATATAAATAATTTGGCGCAAAAGCGCGCTTGCAAGTTAACAAAAATTGATCGATGATCGTGCTTGTAAGAAAGCTTTTTTACCGCATATAAAAAGGTCAGTCAAGAAAAATAGTGAAGAACGCCAAGGGTTTATTACTCCGTGGAAACCCTAAGGAAACTCTTATCGGCGGTTAATTAAAGAACATATACAGAGTATTTGCATAACATACAGAACATACAGAGATTGCATGCAGGTGAGATTTCCACGGCAAGAGACCTCTTCGCCTTCGGTGAGTATTGTGTTTATTGAATATTGTGTTTTCTACATTTTTTTAACGAATTTCCTTGTGATAAGTTAATGGGTTATGCGTTAGGCATGTATGTCCTTCAAGCTTGTCCATGAACAAAAATATCAAACATGATCTTGAGGCTGCGATGCATATTAATTCGCAGCAGTCATGTGTAAATTGCAAATTTTGCATATAAATTTTAATAATAGTAGGTTTATCAAGTTAGATTAAATGTCGTGATATGATTTCAGTTGATAAATTGAGATTTTGTACAGTTCTTAAAAGATCAGGTACATGTGATTTTTTACGACATTTAATCATTTATTCAATATTATTGCTGTAATTAATTGCAAATTATCTAAATCATCACAAATTGGTTGCAGAATGTAACAAAAAACACAGTCTGTCATGGACTTCTAAGCCGTTATGAAATTTAATCTTTGTTAATTTCTAAGTCTTCAGTCTTTCGGCAAACAGTTGATAGCTACACTGTGATAAATACTTAACTTTTTAATTATCGCAGCAATGTTGCTGTAGTATATATGAAACATCACTGCTCCTGGTATATGCATGTAATTATATTTATGTACTTAAAAAAAACACAGTCTGGCTTGGACTTCTAAGCTGTTAAAGCCCCGCGTACACTGGAGGAAACAGCTGAGCTGAGCGTCACTCGTTGACTAAACTGTTTCCTCAAGTGTGCTATGTTGTATTCTGCGTTTTCTGGCACGCGTGCTATCGACGTCGGATATTCAACATGTTGAATACTTTTGTGCACTAGTGAACATTTCCTCATAGTGTGCACAGCAGTTGGTGCGAGGAAACAGCTCAGCCAACAGGATATAAGAATAGAATGAAACTCAATGAATCATATAAGTCATTACTTGTAATTTATTTGGCAGTGATTTTAATGATTTCCCTACTAGCCTAATTAGGTAATTTATATAAATAAATTACAAAAAAGTTGTGCTGATAACAACCATAAAAGCGTTGGTCTCGCACTTTTGTCCGAGTATGTTTCTTTTATGTCTCATTTGAACAGTACGTAGATGTTGAACAGTACGTCAAATTCACACCACAATTGCAAGACCGTCAGTTGAGGAATTCCGGGGCAATGAATTTCGCGCTACCAAAAACAAAAACCAAGCAGTTCGAACACAGCTATTTCATCAGAACGTGTAGGTTATGGAACAGTTTACCAACTTCAGTAAAGGAAGTAAAATCACCACGTATTTTTAAAAATCTTTTGAAGCAAAAGTATTTCTTGGGTGTGCGTCATGTATTTGATGTGGATGTCTTTTGTACGTGGCGTTCTATTTGTCTTAAATGTAACTCTATACGTAATCTTTCTTCAGATAACCTCAGGCTATGTTGTTAATCGTCTGAATCCACGTTTGTATTGTGTGTATATCTTGTCGAAATTTGTAAATAGTTATATATGTTAACCTTGTAGCTATTGGGAGAATGCCTTGGTTAGGGTTGTGCTCTGTCGCAATCTCCCTTGTTGTCAAGTGTAATATTTAGACTTCACAACTAAAATAAAGTATATATATATATATATATATATATTTTGACATCATACCTAATTTTAGTGCGCAGTGATAACCGATTTGAGCAGTGATAAAAGTAGAACGTGCAGTGATAAAATGAGAAATATGCAGTAAACTGTGTTTTCTCAACAGACCTCACTCTGCTGGGATGGATTCATAAGTTATTGTCCCCCAAAATACTTGAAATTAAGTCACAGCGACTCAAAAATACAGAAAAATTTCGCAGAACCCCTACAACGACCCTGTCTTTAAATTACCAATTTCCAGTTAGGATCATTTTCATCATGTCCCCCTCTTCTTGTGAAGATATGTGCAGTGATAAAAAATTCTTAAAATTAGCTATGTTTGACATCATATATTGAGCTCAATGCATGCCGGGACCTTTTAAAGTTTTAATAGCCAAAAATATGGACGAAAGCTGAACCGTGGCATGATTCCACGGTTGCGAACCAATGTATAGTCTCACTAGATTTGTACCGCCAATATATTTCTTTATGTCTGATATTATTTTGTGCAACAAACTGCATGAACATAGTCAAGACAATCCCAACTCAAGTTTGTAGGTGAGTTATTACTTATTTCATTATTTATTTGAAATAAATAATGAAATAAGTAATAACTCACCTACAAACTAAATTATTTCAGATGTTCGCGCCGCTATTTCTTAGCGCCAAAAATGTCATCAAAATGACAGTAAGGAAATTTCTTTTATGGAAGTTACCTTTGAAGCATGTGCTGGAGAACGGCGAGGGATAAGCCACTAGGGGGGGAGGATAAAGTTCATACTGGGCTTTATCAGCCACGCGAGGCATAAAGTTCATACTGGGCTTTACCAGCCACGCGAGGCACAAAGTTCATACTGGGCTTTATGCTCTGTTTTTATACACATATGCATGGGCTTGAATTTAAATCTTATAACATTTAAGCGTACAGGAGTTAAAGCCCCGTTTACATTACACTCGATTTATTGGCACGGCACGGCTAAAATGGGTACCCGTGCCTAATTTTATTAGTGCTCAGACTACCAAAACAAAGGCCGGGCACGGATGAAATGGGCACGGGTACCCATTTTAGCCGTGCCGTGCCAATAAATCGAGTGTAATGTAAACGGGCCTTAAGATTTATGCATCCAATACAACCTCTCAGATCACTGAGATCATGACGTCACGAGGCGCCTCGGCAAAATTGAGTTATCATGCGCTTGGAGTCATTTGTCCCCTTTCTTTCAACTATTGGTATAAAGGGCGAAAAAATCAAATTGAAGGGAATGATAATTCAGTTTTGTAGAGGATCTGACTTCTGATTGGTTGATTTTTGTATTCAGATCAGCTGGAAAGGGTATAATCGGGCGGATTAACAATGTGGGCAAGTCCATTGCAAAGAGGAAAAATCAGATCAAAATTTGTCATTGAAATTATAGGTCCTGGTCATGTGTTCAATGCCGAGCGAAGACAGTATATAAAGCCTCGATTCTCGATAACGTAATCTATATCGTCAATAGCGAACACTAACAGGCGATTGCGGAATCGCAGCAAGGCTGCACACAGTAGCTATATGTGTATTTGGCAGTATTAACAAATGACCGGCAAATTTTTACAGTGAATACTAACCGTATTCGAACTTGTATTCGCTCGTACTGTGAATACTCGGCTTTTCATGCAGTGTGTTTAAAAAAACAAAAATGATTTCATGCTGTGCATACGAATAGCTATGCATTTTCCGAACAAAAAAGTGCGAATTAGATAAAGTGATTTAAAATAAACTGATGCGTCGATCGTGCATCTTTATAAACAATTCGCGATGCAAAAAAATGTTAACTCACCTCTATATGCAGAATATCTTGGGATCTTGCGGACTGAGTTCAGCAAATGTTCCTGACCTGAGAGACCGTGGCCCCGATATGAAGTTAACACTCTTTGGCCTGACACTTTTATCTGCCGAGCATGTCAATTACAGCATGCAAATGAATGGAAATGAAAATTTCAAACAAGGAGCACTTGTCACGAATTTACTGATGTGCTTTGCAAATGCTATAGTCAATGTTTCCCCTATGATGATAATTGAATATTAATGTTAACTTAAAACATGGAACACAGCTTTTAGAAAAACGTTTTCATTATATAGAATATTAAAGTTTCGTCTAATCTCTAGATATATAGTGAATGAGTTAGAATTTGGTATATCTGTATGTATATGCATATTTTATATACATAAAATGTATAACATCACAAGGATATAGGGGAAACATTAGATATGCAAAAATGTAAATCATATCAATTAACAAGGTCATGTAGGCGGGGAAACATTAATCACACGCAACACAGTAAACAGTCTGCAAGAAATCTCCGACACTCAATGCAATTGAGTAGTAACAGCCATTTCAAACAAGGAACATTTGTCACGCAATTAATAATGACAACGATTCTTCCTTGAAATAATTGATTATTAAATGTGTATACTATAGAGATCAATTTGACAACGACACGCTTTTAATATACAAAAACACAGCGAGCAAAAAAAATCGAATGCATCAAAACATATTTATTACCCTCCAGTTTCTTTGTAATTTTGTTTAATAGAAGTTAGATATTCTTTCCGAAAGATTTGAGAATATGCTGAAATTAAAAATATCTTGAATATATGAGAATTATGTTTTGAATCTCACTTCTATATTTCGACGCCGTCTTGAAAGAAAATGTAAACAGATTGCCGCCAAAATGACATACGACAATTTTTCACGTGTGAAGAATATCGTACGTCCAATCAAAAGCCGTGTATGGCATTTTTTTACACATGAAATACATCGTACGTCCAGTCAAATTGCATGAAATTAATTTACACGGTGAAATACGATTTTTATTTCGTCATTCTGCTGCGAATGAATCTCTATATACACATATAATAATAATGTATAGCTTAAAACATGGAACATACATGCAGCTATTCAGACTGAAAACGTTTTATCCTATAAACGTAAATTATTGAGTTAGAATAATAGAATTTGGAAATTCACTAAAGAACATCACAAGGCTACAGGGGAAACATTAGATATGCAAAACATATCAATAAATATATCAATTAACACTGATTATTATGTAAAACATATCAATTAACAAGGTCATATAGGCGTAGAAGCGTTAAGTATACAACACAATAAACAATCGACAAAAAATTGAGGGAAACACGATGTAATAAAAACATATATAGCTACCTTAACAGTTAACGCATTCATCACTTAAGAAATAAAAAACATTTGCTGTGTTTCTATACAGTTATAGAATAACGCTTCGGAGTTTGGCACAACGAGAATCGGTTCTCGTAAAATATCGTGATTTGTCGGTGGCTCGCATATTAATATTATATCTATAATCCCCACCGACAAATCATGATATTTTGCTCGACTTTCTCGAATAATTGATTATTAATTGATCTGTTTTGTGTACATGTCTGTCTTATTCATCATGTTTCCCCTATAACCTTATTGAGTGTTTTTACATATATAGGGGAAACATTAAACATGCAAAAATATAAATTATATCAAATAGCATGCTCATGCATATAGGGAACATTAGATGAGATACACGAAAATAAAACAGTCAATAAGGTTATAGGGGAAACATGATGTGTGTATATATATATATATAACTTTTATATATAAGTCTAAAAAAAACACATTAGCTACGTATACAACAAGGCTATTGGGAAAATATAGATACGCAAAACTGATATAAATCATATTGATTAGCATGGTCATGCATGCATACAGGAGAAACATTAGATATACGATCGAGAAAATAAAACAGTCAATAAGGTTATAGGGAAACATGATGAGGAATACACACGTAAAAATTACACCAAACATGCATATGAATTAACAATCATTGAATAAGGTTATTAGCGCAACATATATAAAACAACGTATATATATATATAGCTCGGTTCGGACGCGAGCAATCCGCTCTATGACAAAATATTCCTCGTGTGGGGATAATATTACGCTGCCCGTTGGACGACCGAAACGGTAAGGCTTCACATCAGCCGTGTTTAAAAACATCTGAAACGTTTGCATAACAGTTCCTGAGCTAACAAAGAGCTGTGATGCTATTTCATCATAACTTCGGTCATAAAACAATTGTTGGTAAATCATTCTCCATCGTAAATCATCATTCAGGCATTTTTGATTGACAATAACCAGTGTACGCGGCTTCATATATTGAACGCGCAACTATCGCGAAAAGACCCACGCTAGTCATGCATATAACAAATCATGTGATCGATATTTAGATTTTTAGGCATATATGTATATGACAACCTTTTTGATATCGACTGTTTAAGGTCCCTATTAAGGCAGAGCGTTTAACACAAAATGTTTTTTCGCTTTCAAATACGTAGTACAACTAGAAGCTTAAATTGTAGTTACCTATAAAAGGCAATGAAACCAGAGTTAGTTCGTACAATCATTTCAGCGTCCGCGATGAATGCGATCGCAACCAGAATTAATAGATTTCATATCATTTTCGTATTTTTTTTTTCAATCCTCCTTCATATCCAATGTCCAAGGCATGATTCATGAAAGGGTTGAACGGGAAGACGCCGCTATCAACTTTTTGAGGCTTGCATGCATCCCTGTATCCAAAAGCCTTTTCTGGAAGATCAGGAAATATATCGTATTTTGCCGCGGTTCTCAATGTATTTTTACATTCAACGGTACGGCTGTAATATTTCTGAAATTCGTCGTTCCCAACTCTTAGAGAGCCAAATGATATGACGGCATCAGGTCGCCGATGATAATGACCACTTACAAATGTAGAGGCCACGGTTGCCATCGCTCCACCAAGACTATGACCGGTTACAATGATTTTGTAACTTCGTGGAATTGAACGATATCCCGCTTCAAACCATTTCTTTATGTCAGAGTAACGATTTCTAAATCCTTGATGAATTCTGAACCGGTCTCCATTGAAGCCCCGTTTACACTACAGTCAATTTATCGGCACGGCACGGCTAAAATGGGTACCCGTGCCCAATTTCACTAGTGTTCAGGCTACCAAAACAAAGGCCGGGCTTGAATGAAATGGGCACGGGTACCCATTTTAGCCGTGCCGTGCCAATAAATCGAGTGTAGTGTAAACGGGGCTTGATTTTCACTTCGACTAGGAATACGTTTAAATTTTTTAGCCAATCGTTTCTGGTGGTTGTCTCACGAAATCCAAAAACAGCTAATTTTTGTTTGTGATTTCTAAACACCAAAACTTTGGTATCTCGTCTTTCGTAGCCTTTTGCCACCCAAATACCAATCTCCGATGCTGCAGGATCTTCGGTAACCCTGGCGCGTTGTCCTCTCTTGCATATAACCGTTGCTGATGAACCGCTCAGTTGAGAATGGTAGATAGCCAGTTTGATGAACTTACCGGCAGAATTAACTGGCTTTTTGGGCCGTGCGGGCTTTCTCCGAACCCACCATCCGCTTGCAGTGGAGAAAAGTAGTGACCCGTCAGTTAATAGAGAGGTCAGAGGTTAAGATACCCGGATTCCGGTGCACGGGTACGGATAGCCTTATTTTGTTCAATGAATATCCATCAGTGTTTCTCAATTTTTTTGAAGATCAACTCCACAATTCTTTTTCAGTAGACTTTAGCCTCTTGAGGTAAGCATGATTTTTATCATAAAACGTGCAAACAACAAGAGTTTCCAATGAACAAATTATGGCTACCCGTACCTGCATACCGAAACCTGGGTATCTTAATTAACCTCTCTATTGCTCCCGTTTTCACACAATTATACTGTTTACTGGTACGGTGCATGCCTAAACTTGGCCTAGTGTCTGCATGTATCTATAATCAGCTATCAGTTTGAAATTAATTTTGTGCTCTCCGTAGACTCAATCTTCAAACTCCTCCCTTAGTTTCTCATATGCAATGCCCCGTATATCCGTTAACTGTTTATAGCTGATGTGATTGACAGCTCGAGTAAGAGCCTCTTAGAAACTTGTATTTTGAAAGAAATTCGACTCGACCAAAACTAAAAAGGTTTCTAGTTGAACGGAAGGAAACCCCAGACAAAAACTTTGATGTCTAAAAGAAAATAGCTATTTGTGGAAGCCATCACCACGGTTTTGCCAATTTTGCCAACACAGTTAACATACTCATAGAAAATATTCAATTTGGAAGGCCTCCCAAACCCTTTAAATTAAAATATTTTCCGAAAATCTGCAAATGAAAGGTATCAAACTCCCCGAAACTCCACGGTTCTTCTTCTGACGTATGTTATTTTGCGCCAAACGTTGTCGGCATGTCGCTATGGCAACAGGTGGCTAGTTGTTGCCAAAGAGAAACAGATTTTGAGAGTTGTGCGTTTAGAGCGTTTTAAAAAGTTTTATTCTCGCCAAAATGATTCCTCCAAACGCATCGCTTGTCAAATACGATAACCCGGCGTTAGTGAGCAGAAATACTGATAAAAAATCACCGCGGGTAAGTTTCAAACTTTCATATTCTGATCGTCGAAACATAAAATTTTGGCAGAAAAGTAGCAGTAAGGTGCTTAATTTCTCGTCCGTTCATGGTGCAAATGACTAAATATATGTCAAGCGTGTTTTATTTAGCATGTTTTACAACGATTTCTACGATGTGTAGGCCCTATAAATGGGAGAGAAATTGTATTAACGATTTGAAATAGTTTAAAACGGCGATTGAATTGCCTTTAAAGAAACTTTGCCTAAGGATAATTTTACAGAACTTATACCGTAAATTCTGTGTTGTTTTCAAAGTATAGATGTCATAAGGCATGATGGCTGCATGGAGTTAGTTATTCACGATTTTTTAATGTTGAGTTTACCTTCTGCTATTTCCACTGCGAGTCTGAGACCTACGATTGTGACTTCAATATCATCAGCATTATGTGTAGTCTATTTTGTGGTTACATCCTCACATTTAGTAAATCAATTTGATCTATGACATGTTTGTGTTCTTTGGAAGTATCAAAATCTTCACTAGGCAGAATAGGTCATGATCAAGTTAGGATGAATGACTGAAATATACCTCCATCTTTCAGTATTTTTAAGCAGCCTGTTGCCAATGTCAATAATTTTGCCCTTTGATAAAGTTCATGGAAAGGCCATGTGAAAAAGGCCATGTGGAAAGAAATGGGAAAAGGAATGATTTACTTTGTGGGACACCAACCTTTAATTAGCTGATAAAATTTAAAGTGAAAGTCAGGTCATTAGTCATGCTAATGTAACAATTAATGCAAGGGCTCTTTGATATTAAATTTACCTAAATTTAGCGTAAAGTCTAGTTCATGTTTATTTTTGAAGCACAGAAAACCTGAATAGATATCTAGACAGCATATCATATTTCACACAGTAAAAATTATATAGAAGTTCAAAATGTAAACAAACCATTTGTTTACAACTATACATATATACCTGAGGCTAGTTGTATAAAATACTAGTTAACTGTCTACATCTAAGGACAGAATTGGCCAATCAGAGTCATGTATTTCTGAATTAACTGGGATTCAGCAATGCAAAATGTAATTAAGGAGTTTTATACAACCGGCCCCTGACCTCCATAGACTTCCATCAGGCAATAGTTGTTATCATTATTTAGTCCCGGCCATTGAAAGTTAGCCAGAAACAAGATGTGAATGGAAGCAGTCCTATACCACCTCCTCCCAAGACAACAAAAATAACAGCTAATGATGTTCAAAGCAAGAATCAGCAAACAGAGGAGATCCTCAATTCCATTTTACCACCAAGGTATATGGTCTATTTTATGGTACCAACATCATAATTGCAGCTCTGCAGTATTTAATGGCCCATCTATTCTTATAGTACCAGTAAACTGCAGTAATTAAGATATTATTGTATAGAAAAAAACCTGATATATAAAAATGAAAATCAATATTTCTATATTTTTCTGCCATTAACATTATAGCCTTAACATAGTACCAAGTTGTCTTTTAGTATAACAGCAAATTTTAAATAGTTTGATAACACAATTTTCATTAGAGAATGGACAGAAAATGGCCAGCTGTGGGTTCAACAAGTATCAAGCACACCTGCAACAAGACTTGATGTTGTGAATTTACAGGTTAGAAACAGGAACCTAGCATGATAATTGCATTGGGGGGGGGTGTTTGTATTTATGCAGTTCTGCCCATCAAATTTCTTTGAAGTGCATTATAGTTTACAATAGAAATCCTTTGGGCAGAACTGAACATAGGAGTGAACACACCCTGATTATCATTCTAGTTACGCTGTTAGTTAGAAACTCAATAAATTGTGCATGGTTATTGATTTATGAATAAAATCAATGGACTACCACAAAGACATAGAATATGGTTGGTTGAACTAGAGAAGGGTACAAAGTAATTGGGGTCACTCTGGAGTATGGAGATATTATTTTTTTAAACTGGATGGTATTCAATGTCGTAGCATTCAAGATTTGGGACTTTTAATTGCCTACCAGGACTGAGTGGTTGAATTTTCAGTGGGGGTTATGCACACCTTTTGTTTATCTCTGTATAGCATATGCGAAATAGTCTTGTAGATTGGTACAAAAGTGCATGAATGCAGCTGCATGGGCATGCATCATGCTTAATCTCATGAGCTGTACTCAATGTAAATGACTTTGAACAAATAACTTAAAGATCATTGGCATTAGCTTTGCCTCATAAAAGGCACAGCATCTACACTGGCCCTGCGTCAAGTTGGCTGTGCTTAAAATATTTGATATTTTAAACTTCAGGAACAATTGGACATGCGCCTTCAGCAAAGACAAGCAAGGGAGACTGGTATTTGTCCTGTGAGAAGAGAACTGTACTCTCAATGCTTTGGTGAGCTTTAATCAAGCACTGCACTATATATTAGAACATGTACTGTAATGTACATTAGTGTCTTGATTGTGCCAGGAGTCCGAGCAACTAGTTCAAGTGCATGTGACGCTGTGCCATAATTAATTTCCATTCAAGTTAAAATTATTTAATGTAAACCTTGTACCATTTGGAAGCCCCATATGAGTTTCTGACAGTAACATCAATCAGGTCATAGTCAGTGAGGATATGTTTGTAGAAAATTCCTTTGGGTTTCTTTTTGGGTCATAATAAACATCTATCTTAAAAAATGACACAGTGGATTTTAAACTAGTGGGATATGAATACCGGGAATGTATACATGGTTTCCATGGTTAAAGGAAGAAAAGTTGAAACAACAAACAAGGCCGAACACAGCAGTGGGGGAAGGGGGGGGGGGTCAGCTGACCCCATAGAAAAAGTTCAACTTACAATTTTTAGAAGTTGTATGCAATGTCATGTTTATAAAAATTATTCCCAAGGGCAAAGCGGTTCGCGTTGTCGGCGCTACAGTGTTCCCTGCCAAGGAACATCACTGCCCCATCCGGCTGAAAAATTCTGGACAGTCTGACACTAAATAATATATTATAAAATATATATATATATATATATATATATATATATATATATATATATAGTGGATCTAGGAAAGGTTGTCCGAAAATATATACATATATACAAATAGTTGTGACATGTGACTTCGTTAAATCCATAGCTGGCAACGCCTAAACAATGTGACAACAGGCTATTAGTAAAATATACGTTCATTTATTTTATCTCAGAGCCCGTTTATCACCGAATGTCAGCGTTTTCTAATTGATCGGCGATTTCCCTAAGGTATAGCTCTGGATGTCTGAGAATTATTTCACATATTGCCAGTTCTTCATGCTGGTAGTGTTGTGCTACAAAGAGGCCTGCCAAACTTATGGGGCGACGTAACGTTACCAGTATTAATAAACAGGTTGAAAACGCGATCTACTGTCCTTTGCGAAACAAACAAATCGACAGCAACTCTGGTTGAAGACCTGTTATAAAATAATTTCTGCCACACAATCCCCCATCTTATATCGTCTGAATACGGCTTAGGCATTTTACAACAAAAATATCCCAACTAAGCAATAACCTTGAAGCAATTTTGCAGCGTTTGCATGCGTAATTAGATATGACACGTGATGGAAATATGTGGTCACATGTCACAACTATTTGTATATATGTATATATTTTCGGACAACCTTTCCTAGATCCACTATATATAAATATATATATATATATATATATATATATATTATATATATATTAATATATATATATATATATATATATATATATATTTATTTGATAGTTTTTTGTTTGTTTAGATGAACTAATTCGTCAGGTCACAATTAACTGCGCTGAGCGAGGATTACTTCTCCTAAGGTAATTAAATTTTGCACACACCCCTTAGACTAAGGTCCAAGGGCTATAGCTGCTGGTGTTTCCACCCTATTTTAAGGTGGCTCGATACAATTTTTCAAAATTTTTAGATGCACTTTTTAAACAGGGATATTAAGCACCTAAATATTTCACTATAAGGCTAAAAGTTAATACACATTGCAGGAGACATATCTAGAGCGAAAATATTCTCAGAACTTTTGCCTGGCACCCGTTACCATGGCAACAGAGACGTTTCAAAATGGCCGCCAAACAGGGTTTAATCGTGTTTATATCACAAACGAGTTCGGTGACCCCCAATTTTTTTTTCATTAAACGTTTACGCCATAAATGCTTTATCTATAAAAAAGTTTTTAAAAAATTCTAACATGGGGAATTTTTTCTATTTACAAAAACGTTATTTTAGCTTATTAAAAAATTCCCCCATGTTAAAATTTTTTTAAAACTTTTTCATAGATAAATAATCTATAGCATAAACGTTTAATGAAAAAAAAATTGGGGGTCACCGAACTCGTTTGTGATATAACCAAGATAAAACCTTGTTTGGCGGCCATTTTGAAACGTCTCTGTTTCCATGGTAACGGGTGCCCGGCAAAGGTTCTGAGAATTTTTCCGCTCTATATATGTTTCCTGCAAAGTATGTTAACTTTCAGCCTTATAGTGAAATATTTAGGTGCTTAATATCTCTGTTTAAAATGAGCCCAAAAAAAATTCGAGAAACTGTATCGAGCCACCTTAAGCCTGTTTTTCACTAGGCCAATTTATTCGCGCGAACAGATAAAAAGTAGGAACCGATTCTACTTTTTCGCGGCGAATTTTTTCGCAAACCAATTACATCGCCGGAATTTAGATATCGCTTCGCGTCGCACGAATATATAAATTCGCCTAGTGGAAAACGGGCTTTATACGGACTGCGGTAGGCCTGTACCTCTCTCCTTCCGCTACAAAACCACACTGAATCCATCCCTCTTCATTCTATCTTTTTACGTTACAGAGTACGAGATGAAATACGAATGACAATTGCAGCTTATCAAACCCTTTATGAAAGCAGGTAAGGCGGTGTTGAAGATTAGAGACCTTAATATTGACTTTTACGACAAACGCCAAACCGTTATTCAACTTTGTGTTTTACCGACATATGCGCTGCGGAAGATCATTTAAGCGGGGGAGGGGAAAAATATTCATATATTCGTGTTAGCAGACCGTAAAAACAATCAATCTCAAAAACTAATAATGCTGATCGTGAACATATGAATATTTGCCTATATTTATTACCTGAAGTGGATTTTTTCTAACAAAACTGGAATTTTCTGGGAAATCACATCACTCAAAATTTGCTTCCATGATGGCTGCAACGTGTTTGGCCCGCTTTCCCCCAACAACCAATCAAATTAAGTTGCTGAAAATTGCCCTGTTACACAATCAATCACAACACTTTAAAAAGCTGCGTCTATCCGGCTTGTAAAAACGTAATATGTGAGATCTATTTAGCTATATGAGAGATATAAGATCTAGAATATTGTAATACGTAAGATCTATTTCTGCGGATTGTATTTTTTGTATTTTGCTGGGTATTTGCAACCAAATCTTGCAACCAAACCTAAAACTTCGAAATGCTCTTTCTAACGGTACTGATTAATTTACTGCACTGGTTTAAACCTTCGTCTTTATGGCCAGTGTTCCAGTTCAAAATAGAGTACAGTTTTTTACTACGTAAGTTCCCTGTCTCGCACCAGTTGCCACAACGCGCGCGTGAAAGACGGACAAGAGGACTGGGCTAAAGTAGGACACAATCACCATGACGAGGATGAGGTTAGCCAGCAAATGTCGTTTCCAGTACTTCGTCCACACTCGGCCAATTGGAATATTGTAATAATGGATTTGCACAAAAATGGACAGCACGTTGAAAAAGAAGTCAATAGCGATGCCAATAGCAGTGTTTCTCAAAGCCTCGTAAAAAATGAGCGAAACGGACAACTCAAAACTTTCAACAAAATACAGTACGAAGTATCCTTGGCTCAGAACCAACGTGCTGTACTCGAAAAGCATATCTTGAATTTCTAAATCCGCCCTTAATCGCCTATTGTGCGGTGTATTGCACGGCATTTCGTTAAGTCTTTTGCAACAAATCGTTCGCTGCAACCGCGCGATAATGCATCTCCACATTTTGAATCTTATACGATGGCTCGCTTTCTTCAAAAAGTTCAAAACGCTCGCGAACAACGAAAGACCGACGAACAGCCAAATGTCAGTAAAGTCCGCTTGCATCGTTCGGTATAGGTAAATCACGCCGCCCCGGACAAAGTACGCTAGTACAAAACTCCGGCTGGGATGTACAACCTCGGAACTTCGTCTCAGCGCAATGTGTCTGCAGATTGCAGCAGGAATGATGGTCAACGCAGGTGCCATAGCCGCGATCATGAACTTGTATTCGGCTTTCTTAGTTCTATTGAAAAAGGGAACTATGGCGTATCTGTAAACGAACGACAGCAAAGAACAGACAAGAAATTCCATCGATACTAGCACAAATATATGAAAATTAGAATAGGACACAGTCTGCCCGCGGTATCGAATATTGTGCCATAAAACCATGCCAGAAACGATTATCCCCGTCAGGAAAAGAACATTTGTAGGATATCTGTAATAGATGTGCGTGTCGTATACCCCAAATACTAGTAATAATAGGTAATAGATTATTACCATTAGTCCAAAGATCACAGACACATAAAAAGTTGAGAAGTATTTCGTTTTGAAAGCCTTCCAACCGAATAGCACCGCAGTTGTTGATGGGAACCATAGGTTCGTTACCATTGCTTCAAGGCTGTCCCCAATTACCCGAAGTCTTTTAACAGCCGACGGCACAGTGTGGTTGTGATGTTGCCATTCTCTGCAGTTATCGGTGGTCTTCAAATCCAGATATAAATATGCCATCGTGAGGGCGGTTGGCGCCACGATAGCAATTGTCATACTTAGACTTGTCGTTAGGCTTTTGGAAATGGACTCCAAATAACCGAAACGACCTGATGTGAGGTCACTAAGCCTGCGATAGGGTGCTGAACTTTGGTTAACGATTTCAAAGGGCGTCGAATTCCATTCGTTGTTGTTATCTGGGTTTTCGTACTCTTTGTTGATATATGGCGGCCATTGATGTTCCTCCGAGGGCCTGCTCTCGTTAGAGCTAGCTTCCTGATCAACCTCTTCTCGGAAGGAGACACGCGGGGTTTCGTGTAAAATCAGCGAGAACATTGACAGAAACATGGCTATAATTTCTTCCAACATGTTGACAGATCTCTGTAGTGACACGATTGCAAAAAAAAAGCCGGAATAACTGGATATTTTGAGCAATGACCATGTACAATCGCCGATGTTTTGTCACCCCTGACGAAAGGTCAAACGATATCCTTTTGTTGACTAATGTCCAAGGATCTGCACATTGACCTGTTTATAGTTTTGCCAGAATGTATATGGCAATAGAAACAAAGAAATAGGAAGATTATAAAGAACAAACACGAAACACTGTGGACATTGCTTTGGAGGATAAATGTTATGAGATGTCGTGAGATCACTGCCATTCAAATGTTGCTGAATTTGCATAGCACTTATTAAACATGAAAACGCTCATAAAAAACTCGTGTCGCGATTGTTAAACCTCAGCACGATTCTTGACCGTATTTATTAATAGAGTGGTTGTTTGGTACGACGTGGCAACAGGGGGGGGGGACTATTTTGTAACTTTCGTTTAAAAACGTCGAAATTCATGATTGCAGTTTTGTTGGCCGTTGCTGAAGGTAAAAATAGGACTAAATCTTTTTAAAGAGTGCCATAAGTCCATAAAGTGACAGCACTTCGTCAAGAGCTCAAGTGGCAAGCTAGCTTGTGTCGCCCACGTGTCAGATGCATGCATGGATTGTGGCTGAACTGAATAGCTAATCTGGCTGAACAGAACTGAATAGCTGTACGTTTATTTAATTTGGGTACCGGATTGCGATGGGAACAGCTTGAATTTTGAAGTTAATAAAAGACAGTGAAATTTTTAATGTCCAACACATGGCTGAATAAGTATGACCAAATCTATCAAGTTGATAAGCATTTACTAATCACGATTGCTTAATAACGACAAACGAGGATGTCGAGACGAGCGCATCCGGTACCGTGTGAACGCTGTCTTGGTCATTGTTTGTTTGGAACCTTTTTAATTAAACTCCACGCCCCTTCTCGCTGCTGAATATAATCGCTCCCTTCGTGAGTCGTGATTCGGTAGGTCTTAATCTTGCAGTTACATACTGTTTGTTTTCAAATTAACAAGACGCCTACTAGGCGTTATATGATCGCGTCGTTCACAGCGGCGTAGCCAGCCCAGCTATGCAAATTTTGTGTCGTAAATGTTTTTAATAATAAAAATGAACAATATACCGAACTATAGTCGCATGTTGAAAGCAGGAGAAACACACAATAGCCCATTTCGAAACTGCTTGAAATCCTTTAGTGCAGGCTTACTCTGCTCGGCGTGTGCAGTTAGTTGTATGTGTAATGAGTGTAAAGATAAAGATAGCACTTGCTAGCATTTTGATCGCTTTATTGATTCTACTTTACTGCTTCGAAGTTCGAAGGTGAAACGAAATATGCCCAAAGTGAATACAACACGTGATATAACTAGCAACTTACCTGTGCGCAGGTTCCCGATTAGGGTGATATGGCCTGCAGCTAGCGACGCTGGGGGTCGACCCTAGACTTGCTACAAGTCGACTCTTTAAACCCATACGGGAGCTTGAGCGACCGAGCGAGCTTGAGCGATCGAGCGTAGCGAGATTATAGCTAATTTTGAGGTGCCCTTTTCGGCTGTAAAACCCGATATATATTTTCCTATATATAGTTTTAAATTAAGTTAAAAAGATTTAAATGGCCCATTGCCTGAACAAACTTGCACAGTGATTTTTACTCCATTCAAACACTATTGTAAAATAACATGTATATAACATGTGTTCTGATTAATCGAAGCCCGTGTTTAGATCAGGCCATCCAAACACGGAAATTTAATTCGCTTTTTGAAATGAAACTTGAGAGACTACCTTGATTTTGCTATTTGTAAAAGCGAAACACGGATGCCGGGCCGGATGAGGCCATCCAAACACGGAAACCATTAAGTATTTTGTTTATTAATAAATCATGAAGAAAATTTACAAGAAAAACATTTTAATGAGTATTTTTATATGTAATAAAAACTCAAATTTCAGGCATGTTGTATTTCTGAGCTTGCACTGCATGGTTTCTTACAATGCAACTTATTTCTTTAAATTATTTTGCCATTGCATGCAGTGATCAATATAACACATTTATACACTTTCAGTTCGCGTGTGTGTTCTATATCATATATGTTAAAACACTATTAAATACATTAAACAATTATTGGATGAGGTTTTTGTGATATGCAGAGTTATCAAGGCAGGGCTGATAACGCTTACCGAGACCTTGATAACTCTGCATATCACGAAAACCGAATTCAATAATTATTTTATTTTACATTTAAAGAATAGTAAACATAGTATTAACGAATGAAAAACCTTATTTAATAGCAACATCCAAAAATACTTCAATTATTAATACATAAATACATTTAAATGAATACCGCTTGTTAACCACCGCAGGCTGACTTACACTTACAGATAACTCAGTTATCTGCTATAACTGAATTTTGCGTGATTGCGCGATTTATCTGTCAACTATTAGGCAATCAAATTGCTTTTACTACTATAATGTATATTAATATGTATTACGCCTGACGAAAGCCCTCAGGTCGAAACGTCGAGAAGTGTTTTGTCTATTTAGGCAGTTGTTATACCAAATTTGATGCTAAGTTGTTTGAAGACGCTGCCACGCTGCTCCTTGGTTATATTGTATTATACATAGTTAATTCATTGTGTTGCAGTGTTGCTTTTGGCATGCGAAAGGCTTTACAGGCAGAACAAGGGAAGGCTGATATGGAACAGAAGGTAAGTGGCGAAGTGACGAGTGAATCGACAGCAAAAAACTACAATTATACAGTTTTGTTAAGAATTCAAATCTCAAACAGGTTTAAATTTTGTGAATTTGTTGAGTTAGAAGAACTATATACCTCTGACATAAATTTGAAACCGAAATAAAGTATATATTATTTAAACTGAAATTAGTGAGTTTAATCGAGGATTTGATTGGTGAAAAACAAAAACTTTACTTCCGGTCAACATGCATACGTGTTGTCAAAAACGTCACTTGTTTAAGCTGACTATTAAAGTGGAAGTCAATTTCATATGTAAACAAACTGTTTGTCTACATTTTAACCTTCTGTACTTTTGTATTTTTGAAATACGATGGCCGTTTGAATATCTAACACAGTAACACTATTCAGGCCGCATAGACCAATTGCGAAACTTAGTAACCGCGCCTTCGCATAACATGGAAGCGAGGCTTATTATGCAAAACACAATATTTGTATTTTTTGCCGTACAAAGCTATCCGCCGAGTTATATCCCGGTTTTCGCCTTTGGTTTACATATTTTTCGATACCTTTAAAGCTCGGTTTCATCGTTGTTATCATAGTTTTAAGGTGAGGGAGTTTTGCCTTTCATTTGAGGCGTTTTTGTGATGTTTTCATTAATTTTTTGGCTGCTTTCGTCGGGGAAATATGGAAAAGACCGACACAAACTCAGGTAAAAATTCAGTTTTTCCAAACTATTTCGTCTCAAGTCTTGAAGATTTATTTCATTTTTCTTCCTCTTATTTGTGCAAAATTTGGCGATATATATTTGGTGCAAAATCTATGTTTTTGTGACAAAAATTGTTGAAAACTAAATGAAAAGTGACAGTCAGATTTTATAATTTCACACCTAATGACTGAAATGGTTCAAATTTATTCACAAATATCACTATATTTTTTATCTTTATACCAGAGTAATACTGTGAAAATGGCAAAAAGTAACTATCTGAAATGTTTTTGTTTATTTCGTTTTAAAAAAGTAGAGACGATGCATGGCTTGCATACCGACATGAAGGCCGAATTTTATTTAAAAGTCGAATTCGAACGCATCTGACGTTCTGTATATTTTGTGTCACTACAAAACACTATTCTTTCTATCTACTACCATGCAATAGATGTTTTAAATAAGGGTTAACCAGGAATACTTTAAAAGGAAAGGATTCCGTTCACCATCGCATTATAAAACGGAAAACACTTCCGAACTTCGGGGTTGTATATTTTTTTCGCCTTCGGCTTTGCCATCATGTAAAGGCATATCTTAACTCTGCTGCTCGCATTGTGGCTACCTTTATAGTATGATATTGTGGGAAAAGAAATATTAAATGGTAATTCAAAATAGGGAATGATATTATGTCTTGGTAATAAGTATTTTACTATCCATGTCATGCATGTGTGCCAAGTTGAAGGGTTGTTTTGCTTTTGAGTCGGCATGACATCACATGTACTGTAGTCTATATACACATAAACCAAAAAACTCCGTTGTATATTTTATCTCCGATTGTTTCTGTCAACAGAGTTCTGCTAATTTTTTCCTGAGCTGTAAAATTGCTGTGAAATTACAGCTTATCGATCGATAAAATTGGTGTAAAATAATTTTAAATGAGAAATGTAAACATGGTGGTTGTTCGACCGTGACTTTTCAATAATCCTTGTCACAAAAACATAGATTTTGCACCAAATATATATCGCCAAATTTTGCACAAATAAGAGGAAGAAAAATGAAATAAATTTTCAAGACTTGAAACGAAATAGCTTGGAAAAAACTGAATTTTTACCTGAGTTTGTGTCGGAATGAAAACATCACAAAAACGCCTCAAATGAAAGGCAAAACTCCCTCACCGGAAAACTATGATAACAACGATGAAACCGAACTTTAAAGGTATCGAAAAATATGTAAACCAAAGGCGAAAACCGGGATATAACTCGGCGGATAGCTTTGTACGGCAAAAAATACAAATATTGTGTTTTGCATAATAAGCCTCGCTTCCATGTTATGCGAAGGCGCGGTTACTAAGTTTCGCAATTGGTCTATACAAAATATAAATTAATTAAAGTTTATGCTCTGAAAAATTCCAACATGCGGCATTTTTACATCAGGAGCCGGTTGTTGAAAAGCCGGTTAGCTTAATTTTAACCCAGGTTAGCGCTAACCTAGCTTTTAACAACTGGCCCCAGGGGTTTTCACATTCGGTTATGAGCGTAACCGATGCGGAGAACCGTGTAACTCTGACTTCCGCTCTAAGTTGTTTCAACCGAGATAGATTTTTACTTCATATGTGCGAGTTCATTTCGCCCATTTGAGATCACCAGTATAAAGTAGTCGAATAAAACATAGGATTTAGTTCGATTTTCTAGAAAATCAGTTCAATTTTCTACGAAATTTATACCAAAAGAAGCATTGCTATCAAATGATCAAATATTACTTCTATAGCCAACAAAAATGGAACAGAAAAGATTCTAAAAACGCCCAACTTTGCGTAAAATTTGTTTAGATGGGAGTTTCTAGATCTACGAAAATGAGAGCTGGTTTTCATAAAGTTTTATGGGAATTATTAAAACATGAACGTGTTTCAATATTACTCACTTCAAAGCGGGAAATCATATATATGAGATCTTTTTCAGTGGCCTTTTGCTGCATACAGTCACCTATGCATGCATGTATATACGCCTGGCCCGGTTATGAAATGATGGTGCTTTATACCAAAAAAATTCTATGTGATGCTTAGATTGAAGAGCTGGACAACGACAAGAAAGAGTTGGAAAGGCAAGTGAACGAGCTGAAAGCGAAGTGCGATGCGATTGAAAAGCGCGAAGCTGAACGTCGTACCATTGAAGAAAAGAAACACGCTGAGGAAATTCAGTTCCTGAAACGGACTAATCAGCAGTTGAAGGTATGAATTATGATCTAGTCAACGAGTACACAACAAATACATTTTGTCCACAAATAGACATGTTCAGCCGTTCGAAAGCTATATTTGATAGTAGCCTGTTTTCCAGTTGGGGGAAATATGCAGGCTTTCATTCAGAACTATAATGCAGGAACAAATGCCGCCTAGTGGAAAACAGGGTTATGGCGTAGGATATACGTCACACTTTGATTGCGTCCAATGCAATTCAAACATTATAATGAGACGATAATGAAGCTTATTATATATGGTTTGAATTGCATTTGACGCGACCAAAATGCGACGTATAACCTGGGCCAAATTTTCCGCATCAAATGTCTATGCCAATGTGAGGAGTTGTGTTTTACGTTTACTAACTCTACTGTTTTAGACCCAACTTGAAGGAATCATTGCGCCAACCAAGAAATAGAACATCATTTTGGAAAAAAAGACTTGAACATTGTAAGAAATGTATGATATAATGGTTCAAACCTAAAATTTGTTTACTTTCGGATATCATTCGTTGTTCATGTATTATATTAACATAATCGTTATGGTAATGAATTATAATTTAGTTTTACCTCACCTGATGGATTGGTTCAAATTTTCAACCCGGCACTATCCTTACTGGTTCATATCAACATATTGTCGAAGCGTGATCCATTGCCTTTGTTGTTGATATGTAATTGACCAGCCTCGTACGCAGGCGCTTTAGTAGTGAAATATGTAGCGTTGCATTCAGCTATTGTATAGAGGTCAGCTGGAAAAAAGTGAGCGCGCGGGGGTGTTTGGGTGGTTTGCAACGTTATATGTTTTTTCCTTAAAGCGCCTGGGTACGAGGCTGGTAATTTACGTTGTTCTTGGATAACTGATCTTGTTTCACTGTAATGTTCATGTGTACAGTAAATATCTACCTATAATGGTCGATTCATTCTTTTAAAACTCAATTTCTACAAGTAAATCAGCTTGTAGTTACACCACGTAACTGACGTGAGTATACTTACGTGGTCTAGTTACAAGCTAATTTACTTATCACCATGAAAATTACAGGACTATTGCTATCGTCAATCTCGCGTAGATACCGACTCCATGTGTACTAATACCGTGTGTTAGTGTACTGTGAGAATATTTCGGTATATTTAAAGCATCTATTCCGGCCAATGTTCATGATCAGGCAAAAACTTTATCTCGCAATGGGCTTTCGGCTTCGAAAATGTTTTTTTTTTGCAATTTTGAAATTATCCTATAGCCTTCGTGAATCCATAGGAGTAACCTTAAAAAATTATTGCGTCTTTTTTTATTCCAAATAAATTTTTCGCTGTTGCCACGCAACGTAAGAATTATGCATCTGTCTTTACATGCAGGCCGACTAAGATCATGCGAATTTTAAAACGTGACAATTTCGGTGTTCGGATCTGCATTTCCGTGGTCGGCTCAACGTGTCATGTTAATAGGAATAGCCTATTAGGAAACATAACCCTTTCAATTCACACTTCATTCGCTTTTTCCGTGCCCGACCCTATTTCAAAACGACTTTGAAAAAACCGCGGTTCCTGACTTTCTTACTCACGTAACTTACTCTACACATTTTTTGCGTTTGCTGGACTCAAACTATTTACACACTCAAAATAATTCACTAACGATGGGTGTGCGTCGCCCAAAAACTTGTAAACTTTCTTGGTATTCCCTGTATACTTTATTCTTATTGTAAATAATTCTGTATACTTCAGCTCTTGTAAGCTGCTATCTAGGGGTCGGTTGTATCAAAGCCGGATAGCGCTATCCACCGGATAGTGATTTTTTCAACCTTTCTAAAAATGCTCGAAAAGCGATAAAATTTCAGCTTGGAAGCGACAATTATTAAAGAGGATCTTCGATTTAGGAATACTAAGATTTAATCAAAGTTGTAGCAAATAACGGGTGATTTTGAAGCGATTGAAAAAAGCACTATCCACCCGCTATCCGGCTTTCATACAACCGGCCCCAGATTATTAATGAATTCAAATTCAAATTCAAATACCCATATCCGGACCAAATTCGCGACTTCGTTGATGCCTCGAAACCTGATATCTTGTAGCTAGGGACGAAGAACCAATCAGAAACCTGGACGTCATGCGTAGCGGAATTGTCAGTCTCGCCCATTTTAACTTGACAACAACGAAATTCAACCCGGGCTGTCAAAATCAGCAAGCGCTTGTAAAGAGAAGGGTGTATGAGCTTTGCGTTTACAAAGTTCATGCTTTCGACAAAAATGCGTTTCGCGCACATGAGATTTGCGCTTTCATTTTGCGCGCTTCTGGCGTGCTTTCAAGCAAGTGTGGCGCAACTAAGGCAAGATACGATAAACATTGCGCAGCACAAGACGATCAGAGCGAGCGCAACTTGTGGATATGATCTACCACCGGGCACAACAGAAGAATTATACTGTAAACTGGCGACGGTTCCTGGGAAATTTGGTATAGACGGTTTAGAATGCAGTACGTGTAATCCCAACGTGAGAGCAAGGGATCATCGTATTCAGTACGCTATTGATGGCTCAGAGAAATGGTGGCAGAGTCCTCCATTGTCCAGAGGTTTGCAGTACAATGAAATTAACATCACGATTGACTTGGGTCAGGTATGTTGTTGCTGTTTATTATACTCGATTGTGATTCCGTTTATTCTGATAGCGCCGCTGTGCGAAGCTCGTTATAAAACGGGCTGTTCACCTAAGCGCTGAACGCGGTTGTGTTTAAATGTTGGATAAGTTGAAAATCGGTTAGGTTTATACACTCACAAATAACTGCGTTCAATAATTTAAAGTCAAGTTGATCCGGCATTTCTACAGATTTGTGTTTACTGCGCATGAGGTTTTATTTCGGGCATTCTCAAAATGTATGACACCATACTACATTTTTTACATTTTCAGTGTTTTATACAAATTCTTTTCGAATACCTGTGTAACTGATGCTTGGGTAATGCGCGCAAGGCTATTACCATTTGCGCTAAAAGAATCTAGGTTAAATTTTTTGAGCGCGGGATACGGCATCATTTTTCTAAGGAGAGAGCGTCTTAATAGAACGTCTTAAGCGTCGAAATAGGCATAAACAACAACATCCTGTGTTATTTCACCCTTGCGTCCTAAACGCAAATTACTTTTACGCGAATATATTTTGTTGCGCGCGTTGATACATGGATGCTGATACAAAAACCTGCGTTGGCGGTCACACTGTACTCGCGGTGGGTTATGTAATCCATCACGTCAATCATGTTTCATCTGCGGTTTTCAATGTTAATGTTAACAATTCGCTGAACTCTTAGCGCGATGGTTTGCGTGTCCACGCATAAAAGACAAGGAAAATTGTATATTATTCACTGCTCAAATGCACACACAGCGCCTACAGTTGAAATACTGTAAATATGCTGGGTACAAGAAAGACTTCGAAAATATGTTTTTTTAAACCGCGTTAGAGTTTTTATATATTCAATACGCGACGTATGAACCTGGTGTGTGAAAGCACAAATTCTTGAGAGCGCGTCAACTCTTAAATCTGCCCTTTTTTGTCGGCTGAAATCTGAACTGTATGAAATATTTTAGGAACGTTGCCAAAGAGGGGCAACATTCTGTCATATATGGTGTCTTGTATTTCATCGTTTCACAAATGTGTGTTTTTTTCACAATGCATCATTAGCATTGAAATTTTACAATTGTCACAGCTAGTGTTTTGGTTATAGCACTTGGAGATTTGATCAAACAATGCGAGTATTGTAGGTGGCTTTGTAGAGGCGGTTTTGCCTTATTCTGGTGGGGTCACAATGGAATGTCGGTGCTAAATATATGTATGATACTTGCTTCCTAAAGAAAACATCCCAACCTGGCTGGGTGCGCCAAATGGGGCAAACCCATAAATTGCTAAACCTTTTATAGGAAAGCGCGTCATTCTCGTTTATGGAGGTTGTTCTGCGCTCTACAAATATAGTTAAAAAACCCTGCCAAGCTTAGTACGTTGTAATAGCATTGCCAATATTTAGAATTGAGGTTTTTACCTATCAACTATAACGACAGTTACCATTGGAGACAATAGCCTTAAGGCCGAATTAAAATGTCAAAGTTTTTGCTATCAGTGATCACGGTTGAAATTTTTTCGTTTGAATTATTTGTAACAAAAATCAAGCTGAAATGACGCATTGTTAAAACACTGTATTAGTCCCCTTAAGCATTTTGAGTATATTTCTTGAAGTGTGGGGAATAATTATATAATCAATGCAATTTTCAACAACTGCATCTGCATGTGTGATGTGTTCACAAAAACGTGATGGTGTATACGAGTGCATATACAATGCCGCTATGGCTAAAAATTGTGCCTGACCTCGAAGGCTCAATTTTACTTGAAGATATTTTTCGTTCAATCTGCCAACCAATATAACCGGGGAGGGAAATGGAAGGCCGAAATTTAAAGCGTTATTCTTTCGTTCATTCTTTACAGTTTCGAATGGAAAATAGAACTTAACTGTCGTAAAATCTCTAATCTGAATTAAAAGTAGTTATGTAGATTTTATTCTTTTTTGTGTTTGGACTATCGAATGAGTCAGTGAAAAGTGAATATGAGTTTATGATAAAAAAATTGAAACCTGTCTAAGGTCGTCAATTTTAGCTGCTGTAAATCCACTTTAACTTCGGCCATGATTTATAGTTTCTTGATAACTTTCGATGATTTTATGGTCATCTAGTTTTGATTCCTGTCAAATCAAATCCTTTTGAACCCCATGTCCATGCCATGGACGACTTGCGCTTTAGATTAATTTCTTACCCCGGCGATAAAAGGACATTTTCTGAAAGAACTTATTAAAACTGCCAAGTTTGTCTACGAATTGTTGTAAATTTCGGAAAATATAGCAATGCGAAGTGATCAAATTTTGTATTACGGCCGGAAGTGTGTAACTAATTTAGATAGACATTTCTGCACGTAATACAAAAGTATACAAAATTTGATAACTTCGCATTGCTGTATTTTCCGTATCTTAGAAAATTCCGCTGCCAAACATTGCATTTGCACTAATTTAAGTAAGATCTTTCTCACTATGATCATTTATTTTCTTCTTGTTACTTCGATCAAAAATAAGTCTAATGCGCAAATCGTCCATTCATCCCTTTGAGAAGATATGACGAAATCAAATAAAATCCTATAATTATATTTTAAACTTAGCATCAAGCAGCCATGCTGCTCCCTGGTTATATATTTTTAACTATTATAATTAACGATAATTTTGTCCCTAGGTCTTCCATGTTGTTTATATTGTTATCAAAACAGCCAACTCTCCCAGACCAGGAACATGGGTTTTGGAAAGATCAACAGATTTCGGCCAGACGTACAAAGCTTGGTATTATTTTGCACCATCACGTTTCGAGTGTCTCGACTTGTTCAAAATCAACACTCGTTTGCCACTTGTGGAAGATGATCAAGTCATGTGCACAACGAAATATTCCCAAATACCACCTTTTGAAAATGGCGAGATGTACATTTCACTCGTGAATGGAAGACCAAGTGCATTGAGAAATCAAGTCACCCAAA